GGACTCCTTGCTGTTCCTCAAGCTCTTCAGGCACACTCCTGCCTGAAGGCCTTTGGCACTGCCGTTCCCTTTTCTTAAAACACTCTTTGTCCAGATATCTGCTTGGCCAACTTCCTCATCTCTCACCTCCTTCAATCTAGCTCAAGTGTTACTTTTTTGATGAAGCCTATCCTAATCAAACTACTTAAAATAGGAATCTGTGTCCTCCTTCTTTGTTCTACTTTTTTTCCCCTTAGCATTTATCATCTTTCATATACTATAATCTGAGTGACCAACTCAATCTGGCTTACCAGGCTTCCTGGTAAGCTTTCCTGGTTTTAACACCAAAAATTCCACATCCTGGGAACTGCCTTGGTCCTGAGCAAACCAGAACATTGGTCATCCTAACTATACATAATTTACTATGTTTACTTTCTGTCTCTTATCATGATGTTACATAATAAGTTTCACAAAGGCAAGGATCTGTCACTGTTGTGTTCATATAGAACAGTGCCTGGCACATAATAGGTGCTCAGTAAATAGGGCTTAACCACTTGCCCTTAAACGGCCTCCTGCAAGAAGTCACCTAGCAAACTAGCTGGATGTAATCAGCTGTATAGTTTTGAGCTCTTCAAATTTAATTCCACTAATACTTGAAATTGTGGTATTACAAAGTATGACTAACAAATGGAAATCAGATACAAAAAATGTCCACATATATATTTGAATCATGTCCAACATCTGTAAATCAAGCCAGGATCTTCTCAACACAATGTTTTAAAAAAAAAAATCCACATGACCCACACATAGATTTCAGGTAAAGTGGTCTAATTTAGAAAAGAACCTTTGACACACCTATAACTCCTACACAAAGCAGCAGTTTCCAGTACATGCGACTAAGACCTGCAGCAGAGGAAACAGGCCAATTCTTACCTCCTGTGTAGAGAAAGGAGCCAGACAGGCCTCCAAAGTAGATGAGAGCCAAGTGCTCTAGCTTCAGAGGGGACAGGGAGTAGAGGCAAGCGGCACAGACACAGCCTAAGGTGTAGAGGAAGACTCCAAACCGGACAACATCCTGGGGTTCCAAGATTCGGTCTACCAAGGTTCTGTCATCACTCTTTTTGTGGTCAATGCCCTTGGAAAAGTCATAGTAAGTGTTGACCAAATTGCCGGCCCCGTGCACAGCCAGGACAGCCACGGCACAACCCACCAACAGCCTGGGATCCAGGACGCCCTGAGATTTGTATGCAAGGGCACTGCCCAGGGCCACGGGGGTGAGTGAGGCACTGAAGCTCCAGGGCCTCAAGGCCAGCACGTAGGAGGCGCACTTCTGCCTCCATGAGCGCTGGGGTAGCCTGTCCTGCTCGGGACAGTCGTTCCCCGGCGGGTCCCTCTCCCCAACCTTGACAGTCTCTCCCGCCAGGATGTTAATCTTCTCCCCCATGGCCTGCGAGGCCGCCATGGATTCTGCACGTGGCTGAAGTCAACTCTTAAGTAAGCCACGCACCGTGACCGCCCGGGGGCAGGGAGGGACGGAACTGGGCGGAGCGGCCGGGACTGACCTTCCTTCGGCTCCGCCCGGGGGCAGGCCTGGGGAGGCAGCGGGATCTGGCTGCAGCGGCAAGCGGGCCTTGCACTCCACCAGGCCCGGCGGCGCCGCCCCAACCACCCGTCACTTGGGCAAAGCCTGTCTCCGGCTCCTAGCCCCGCGCTAGAGCCCAAGGCCGAGCAGCAGCCGCCTCCCCCTGGCAGCCGGGGCCGCCATCTTGTGCACCAGCCTCTGGAGGCCGGCCCGGAAACACCGGCCCGCGGCGACACCGGCCGGACAGAGCAGGGCCGGAGGGAGGGGCCGGGATGGCGGGGGGCGGGGCCAGGTGAGTGAAAGTGCCCAATAAGTCGTAAAGCGACACGCCTTCGAGGTCGTTCTTGTGATGCTAGGTGAGGCTGTCTCTAGCGAGTCTGGAAGTAGCGGCGGGGCGGGGCCACGGATAGGGGCGGGGCCACAGGTGGGCGGGCCTGGGAGCCGGGGCGGGGCGGCGACCCCTTGGCCCAACCCTTCTCCGGCCGGGGACCCCGCCCCGCAGCTGCTGCTTCACCATCCAGCGTAAGCTTTCCATGCTGGCCAAATCCAAGTGTCATACAATGCCAAATCAGACAATATATTAGCAGATATATTAAAGTCCTGGCTCTGTCACTTACCAACTGTGTGAGCCAATCTCTGTACCTCGATTTATTCGTGTATAAAATGGGAACAATACAACCTGCCTCAAAGAAATGTTCAGGAATAATAGTAACAGCATTTAACGACTGTTTACTTACATGTGCCATACATATACTGTTTTAGGTACTTTACATATAGTATTAGCGTTTAACCCCCACAACACTGCCTACCGACACAGGTACTATAATCCTTCCTGTTTTATAGATAAGGAAATATTTACAGAAGTGTTGGAGCCAAGTTTCAGATTCAGTTAGTTTGACTCCAAGCTGCTTTTAACAATGTCCACCAAAATCCCCAATACATTGTAAGTACTCAATAAATATTAGTTATTATTGTAACATAATGAATGAGAAAGCTCTTTGTCAACGGAAAAGAAACCTACAAATGCACTAATTACTGTTGCTATAAAACCATCTTTTATTATTAATTAGAAACACAGGGCTTTATAACCTCATAAAGTGGCAAAAATCTCAATTCAACAACATTCATCAAAACTTTCTGACCCTATAATACTCTTTCTGGGAATTTATCTTGGTACTGCTGCCAGGGAATACAATGATATGCATATAAAGGCATTCACTGCAGCATTTGAAACAGCAAAAATTTGGAAACAAGTGTCCATCTACAGAGGACTGGGAAAATAAATTATGGTACAACCATGTGATGATAGAATACTATGCAGCTATAATAACAAAAGAACAAGGAAGCTTTCTGTGTACTAAGATGAGAAGATCTCTGAAATACACTAAAATTTTTAAAATGCAGAACAGTGTATATAGCATAACAAAAGGGGAAAATAAGAATATATTTTTATAGATTTGCTTGTATTTGCGTACAGAAAAACTAGGGCTACATAAAAAACTACAAAAATAAGCAGTGAAGGGGGCAAGGATAGAGGAAGACTTTTCATGATAAATATAACTCATTTATTTTGAGATTTGAAAAGTGAATATATTACATATTAGAAAAAAAT